GATCAATTAACTTGATAAAGAAATGAAATTGAAGTTTGCCTAAGTTTTTGATTTTCACTTACATGTATTACATATGAATAGTAAAATCGAAATATTCTTCTTCACAAGCTTTCGATTACAAATTTAGAATATTTTCAGGAAAGAACAACAAAATACGCTTTTACCTTTTAAATATACTTATATCAACAATGTTTCCAACCACTTGTTTAGCGTTAGGCTTCGCGGTTCGTCGCCTGCAGCGGTCACGTGGCGTGTCAGTTATTGTCTGTTTTTATTCTATCTATTTGTGCTGCTTTTTTTAATTCTTTATGTCTTCCCCTATATGGTTTGTTTGTTTGTTTTAGAGCATAACCACATTGGGTTATCTGCTATGTCCACCGCGGAGAATCGAATCCCGGATTTTAGCGTTGTAGATTTATCACTGTCCCACTGGGGGATTCCTCCATATGGAGATATGTACTGTGTCTACTTGTTTCTTTCTTTCTTTGGCTTGGTGGTTAAGACGCTCGATCTGCAATCTGTTTCCTTCCCTCTAATCTATCACTTCAAAATTAGGTACGACTGAGCAAGTAACTCTAAGTAGCTTTGCACGTAATTCATCAAAACCCTTGTTTGTGAGCATAGAATCCCTTGGATGGGAATAAATGGCCATACTACATCATGCACCAATGGAAGGATGCCAATCATCCATCAGAAATCTAAGCAATTTTAGACAGATCAAGTTATATCTAAATTGTCACCAGATAGCACAGAAATTGTCTTATTTGTTTGATTTGAAGAAGTAATAAATTAAGAAAAAGTAAACTTTGACAGAGATCAGTCAGATTTCTCATGTATTGAATGCTTATGAGCATAATAAAACCTCTATCAGTGACACCTAAAGGTAACAGCTGTTCCTTTGTAAATACAGATTACCTCAAAGGATGTACTGAGGCAAATGTAATGTCAGATTACAATACACTAACCATAGAAGACACTCTCATGCAGTCCCAACTGAAATTCGCAAAAAAGAATAAGGGAGAAACTTCTTGTGTGAGCTGATAATTTAACTTTGCAACATGAATTTGCTGATTAACTTTATCTTTTCTGAAACTTTTTAAAGTTAATACATTAACATATATTTTCAAAAATTTACTATTTGTTTCAGAATTTCCTACAAAGCTACACAAATTGCTGTCTGTGCATAACCATCCCTAATTTTGAACAGGCAAGTTAGAGGGAAGGCTAAAGTACCTACTGCAGATTCAATATTCAAATACACTGACCACATCTAGTTATTTAATTAGTACTAGACATCATAAAACAATAATTCTATAAATTAAAATAGTACAAAAATTGCCAAGATAACATTTCTGTGCAGTGATCCTGATTCTTGCATTAATGCACTTTGTATTCATCTAGACATAGCTGAGGAAGATGATATAATCACTGAAGTTACCACAACATCCTCTGTAACAGTTATTGCATGTTCTTTAGATGTGCAATCATTTTGCACTGTTTTGCCATTTTCAATAATGTTGTCAATGTTAAGACTTCCACTGACCCATACAAATACTTTTCTTGTATGTAGAAAAGCTTGAAAAAATGAATCCTAGTGGTCTCCTTAACTACAGTATTGGAAAATAAAAAAAGTTACAAAATTTGGGTGATATGCAAGCAGTACAGTTATGCTGATAATAAGATATGAATCGATATTGACTTAAAAACATATTTCCAAAGTTAATGAGAAAACTCCAACCCACATAAAGAATGATAGCACATTTTAACAGAATATTAAGATGAAATCAACACAAACTAAGCCTTGATGGAGAAGTTTAAAAACGTTGATGAGCTATCCGCACAGATGTTTGTTTGTTTGAATTTATGCACAAAGCTACACAATGTGCTATCTGTGCTCTGCCCACCAAGGGTATTGAAACCCGGTTTCTAGCATTGCAAGTCTACAGACATACTGCTGTACCACTGGGGGGCCCACAGATATTTGCACAAAGAAAGAGGAAGATAATTGATGCAACGTATACAACAAGGAACTTATGATGTGTTATCAACAGGCATTGTGATGCATAACATCATGAAACACTATCTATCACACCTGAAAACCAATACCAAAAGTTCAAAGTTTCAGAAAGAGGTTTCCATCCAGTCAAGTTCACAACCAAGAAAAAAAAAAAAACTTAAGGCAGTATCAGGGTATGTAGCCACACATTATCCTTAAAAAAATTATTTAAAAAACCTCATTGTGAAGATAGAAAATATAAACAAAGAAAACTCTACAAAGTACACAAATTTCAGTGGTAGTAAACAAACTAGTGGAACTTATGGCAGACAGAGTCAAGAACTAGTCTCTGGAGAACATATGACTTATGATCTTTGCAAAAACTTCATAACTGAAATTTTATTTTGAATGTGAGTGAAGAAAGCAAATGCAAAAATGAGATTTCCAGAACACATCTTGAAATAACATGATTAAAATATCTACCAGCATGGCTAGCAATAAATTTAAAAAAGCATATCAACTGCCAAGATTGAATTAAACGTGAGCTGTTTTGAGAACATAATGACTGGTAATTACATGGCTGTCAAACTTTCAGAAACGAATGCATCAAAGCAGTAACTTGATAAATTCTAAAACCATTCCAAAAGCCTATTTGTGCAGGATTTCTTTTAGGTTCATGATAAAAAGTGTTGACCTGGAAACCAAAAATATTTAAATCAAATGTTAAACTTATCATACCTGTCAACACTGAGAGGTGCCAAATTGAGAGACTTTTTGTGGAAGTACTGCAATAGCGAATGCTTCACCAGAGAATTTAGAAAAAAAGATGTACTTTTATGCATTCTGGGAAACTTCATACATTATAAGATTGAAATGATGTTTTCTTTTCATTTACAGTCATCTACTAATACTGCACTTTTATAGTAAGAATTGAAAAATAAAAAATACACATATCCTGATTAGTGTTCTTTGTTATATTTGTAACTTGCACTTTTGGCATCTTTCAATACCTGCTTGCTGGGCTTGTACTTCCTGGCTGAGGAATCTGAGTTAAACTTGCAATTTAAAAGGGCACATACTGTGTAATGACCCAAATCAGTAAGCAGTCCTCACCACTGAAAATGCCCTTTCACTCGATGCATTGGAATATGGTACAACAAACAGACAGTATAATACAACAAAGTATAACAATGTCACACAAAATGAAAAAATATTTACTTTATTTTTTGTTAAATTATTAAAATGGTTGATATCAGGAGATCGGGAAACTCCCGCCAAAACTGGGAAAGTTGACAGGGCTTAACTTGTACAGAACTTGAACAGAGCATTAATTGTATGAAATACAACACATACACCCTACAGGCTTTTGATGTTTCGCATATTGCGAAAGCCAAAGACAGCTAGATTCTTAATAGCCTATTTGTGTGGACCCTCTGATGACATAAAAAAGAAGTGGAACAAAGCAAAAGATTCTCTCTAGACCTAGCTATTATATGATGATATATTCAAGCCATAGGCAAATTTGTACGGTGTTATATTACAGTCAAATATTTATAGAAATGTCATATACACGCAGGGGACAATAATCATGAGCTTTGCTCAGTGTGATGCCAAACGTGACCAGTAATGGGGTGTGGGAGAGAGATCAGAAAAAATCATGTCTGTGACTACTCCTTTGTGCTTATAACTGGAGGTGGTAAAAATACTTACTACTATCTTCAAAATGCTTATAAAGATAACAGTAAGGATTTTGATGATAAATCTAATACATATGGATGTTCAGCTTTTTTGTTCTTGTTGTATTGTTACAAGCTACATGTAACACAATATCATGTTGTGGTTGAAGATCAAGGAGTTAGAATACAAGACCTCTTCAACTGAAATTTCTCATGTCCTGGGTCCATTTATAGTTAATTTATGGAAATGGTGATTCACTCATTCCAGTAGATTAAAGCTATACTTTGATTGTGCAGTCAGCAAATGAAAATTGCTATAAACTGGACACCCCAAACTTTGCCCATAATGGTGTGCTGGTCACTGTAAAAAGAGAAAATTTTATCGGTACCATTCATAGATGTTTTTTGAGACAGCTTACAGAAAAGAGAGGAAGCCTAGTTATTCCTTGTAAGTAGAATTGATTAAATGGACTGGAGTTGCAGTATTCTTGTATATTGCTACTCAACAGAATAATGTGTGCACCAACTTTTTTGAATTTCTTGCATTTGTGAGTTTTATAAATTGATAATCTTACCCAAACACAACTTTGTAGAAGGAGAAACATTCAAGAATGTGTTCTCTTAACCATTGCAATCAGTGATATTCCAACAAGCAGACATGTATAACTGGATCAAAGCCTTCAAAAAAGTGATATATCATTAACTGGGAATACAACTACAGATACAATAAGCATAAAGCAATGGCTTTACAAAGTATTCAAGTTATTAAAGGGTACATGCATGAATTAACAGAGAGAGAATAATTTTAGTACAACATTTAAACACCATTTCAAATACAGACAGATTAAAAAAACATAAATAATATGATTTCAGTATATGATTGTAACATGCTTTCAGAAATTCTGGGTTCAACATATTTTAATCACTAGCATAACAAAAATTACTTCACCTAAGTTGTGTGTTCAGTTTTTCTTAACATCTCCAACTTGTAGACATATTATTTTAACTTCTTGGGATTTCCAAGGTTCTTCAGAAATCCAAACATTTCCTATCCAATTGTGTTGTAAATATATAATAAAATTTCCCCACAATCACAAAATAAGCATGTGGTAAGTTGCAAAAGATACTAACTACAGTAAAACTAAAATGGATCTGCCACTGCTGATAAACTATACCATACAAGACTACCTATTGAATAAAATTTCAAGACTTTATGTTTGGATTAAAGTAAAAATTAAAACTTATTTTCTACAAAAGAGGATTTTTCTTTTTTTCTTTATATAATTATTCATATATATATACTTACAAGAACTATATATATTCCTAAATAAAACTAGTCATGCATGTTACAGATGTAATTACATTAATTTTTGCTGATGAAGTGATATACATTACATTCCAATACACTCTGGTATCCATCAGTTTTTACTAATACGGAAAGAATAAATTAACCAAACATGATCTATCTTAATATTAACATCATAACCTTTGACATAAATTCCACATAAGTTTATTCCCAGAGGCATTAAAGAAAAAATAACATTCTACATGCACAGAGGACTTCAACATTAATTTTTGTAAATAAGCAGTGTTACATGTATTGCAGTGTATTATCAAAATGAGTTGCTCTAATAACTAATGTAATCACTACAAGCCTTAAAGATACTTTCTCAACTACTTTACTCACAGTGATCACATACAGCTGTTTTGTCTTTTAAGACAGACATATCAGGTTTTTACTAACATCAAACTCTAGTCACTCGAACCTAAATTTCCAATCATTCAGATATTTCACACATGCAATGAATACAAAACAAGGATGCATAAAAATGATAAACGAAAATTATAAAATAAAGCATGTGTAACTATTAACACCATAAATTTGAAACTTAAATGTACACAAGCACTAGCAGAAAATACTGTTGTATATTCATAGCCAGTTGATGGAAAACAGAATATAAAAATTAACATATTCTTTCACTGCAAAAAGCAAGAACAGATTCACACCTACGTAAAGATAGGTACCAATTTCAAGTCTCTATCTATTGATTAATATTAAACGTTTAAGCTAATACAGTCAATATATTTTAATGATATTGTATAGTAATAAAACATAGTTCCAATGAAGTATAAACTAGATGCTTTCAGGTGACACTGACACTAGGTAATGTTTCATGTTATGAATATTATACTATAAAATTGGTTGCTAAGAAAAACAGGAATATCAGTAGAGGAAAAGTTAAATTAACTGGGTTGTTCTACTACTATAGAAACATAAAACAGTTCTCAAGGGAAAACCTACACTGCATATAAATTGTTTTAAATGGCAGTTAGCAGATGAAAATGTTTCTAACATGCAGCAATAATCTTAAACTTAGTTTCATTTTTCAATATAAGTTATATGTATTTTGACCCTAGAGCATTAATTAAAAATATATATGCAAACATTCAAACGAGAAACTTTTATAGAATAGCGTACTTGTCAACTGATATTACTTAGTATATAATATGCAATACTGTTCTTTAGGTTTGGAATTTTTCAAGTTTTCTTAACACATTTTTTAACCTTTCATGATATCTAACTTCCATGGAACATGTACTGGTATTGAGATATTTTTCTAGTATGTCTATATTTTCCTCCAGAGAGATAATAAGATGTTCAAGGGCATCCTGTTCTTTTTCCAACTCACCACAAAGACGTTTAGCAGGAGGCTTTATTACTACACCATCTTGGCGTACGATAGTTTTTTCATTTGATGATGATTTTGAAATAACAACTGATGGATGGCTATTTTGAACACCAGATTCAACTTGTAAGATCTGATAAGGATCAGTAACAATCACATTATTTTTATACGGTGTATTACTAAGAAAGCTGGTGAGTAGTTCTTGAAGATGAGGAGCTTTTCCTAAACTTTCAGGAATAACATCTTCGTGTTTTGTTTTATGAGCAAATTCAGAAAACATTTGTAGAGCATGCTGTTTTATCAGAAAATTATTTGAATCTAAAGTGATGGCAAATAAGCTTGATAATTTGCTGAGAATTTCTCTCTGTCCTGGTAAAGGAGGTATGTATAAAGACGTCCAATGACGCAAATTATTTATGACAGCCAAACAAAGGTCATCTTTTTGTACTTCCCACAACAACTTAAGTTGATTCAACAATGAATGTAATTCACAGTTGGAGAAATAGGGCATAAAATGAGCCATCAAGTGCAATAATCTGATAGTCAGCTGGCAAACCCAGGGGCTTTTGTGGACAAGAGGTATTGGTAAGCACAATATTAAATGTAACACATCTGTTCCCAAGTTCTGAAATTTGGTTTTATCCTTTTGAATATCATCTGATGATGATAAATTTCTAAGTGTATCTAAAGCAGAGCATAATGAGTAATAGTTTTCAGATTTTATCCGATCAATAGAATTATGCAATACTTCAAGATTCATAGTGAATAAATTATTTTCTATTCCTTCAGTTCTGATGTCTTTTAACCTAGCTATATGAATATTTCCCCAAAGGCTACTATACATTAAGAAAGGAAATTTGGTAACAAACTTTTCTTTGTGCTCTGCAGTCAAAAATACAATAAGCCTATTTAACAGGGACTGTAAATGTAAACTCTGATGGCTGTCTTGTTTTGTTTTTTGTAATAAGTTTGCCAGAACACAAACGTGCGAAAAACAAAGTTCAGATGATCCAAACCGAGCAACAAAACACCAGACATCTCCAGCTAACATAGCTTGAATCAGATAATCACTAAAAAGGTTCTGTAACAAAGTTTGTTCAATGATCCAAAAATACTGAGGTGGAATGCAAGCAATAGAACTACAAAGATGAGTGCACACATGTTCATATAAACTGATCATGCGCTGAGGTCTCCCACCATGCATAATACCAGGGACATGAACAGGTAGAAAGACTTCAATGTGGCAGGACTGAAGAGACTTAAACATTAAATGAATTATTCCTTCTTGTGGGTTACCACAACACTGTCCTAACCAATCATTCATAATGTCTCTTTCAAAAGATGGAAGTTTCTGTAAGATCAAGACTAATAAAAAACAAAGAGGGAGACACATATCATCGGGACATTTCAGCATGATTTCCTTAACAGTTTGTGAAAACTCTCTTTCAGTCAATAGAGGTATTAACAAAGGCTCAACTCCAATGACTAATGTACGATTAAGTTCGTCAATTTTGGAATCCTGTTTTGTAAGAGAAGATGCAGAGATCCCAAGTAAATTTAAAAGTACAAGAGTCAGAGATTTCAAACAATCACCAAGATAGCCTTTGAATTTATCACATATAGCAATAATAACTTTCAAGTTAAACATACTAATTTTCACAATTCTTGAAAACTCCTTCTCATCAACAGGATCTGCAGATGAACAAACTATATCAATACCTTGTACTATTTCACTGCCAAGAAACTGTAAGGCTGCTGCTACATTTAATCTATCTTTTAATACTCCATGGTACTGAGTAGCTAGTCTTGTGTATGTTTTCCAAACAGCAGCTGCAACTTTTAGTTCCAAAGTTGTAGCAACTTGTGACACATCACTCAGGTTATCACAAATTTCTACTAGAGCTGATACATCTTCTTCAGCTCCTTCACAAATTTCCAACTTCTCAAGAAGTACCAGGAGATCTGTTTGTAAGCCATGAGCTTCCTTAAACAAAGTAGTCAATGAAGTACCAATTATCTCAACCTTTTCTTTATACACAGCATCACTTTCCTTACAGTGAGAAAAACACTGTTTTATAATATGAACAACTGCTCTAGGTAGACTGTAAATTTGCCCCAACATGACAGATCTCTCAGCTGCAACTGTTTGAATACAAAACCCTATACAGTTAACTATATCTCTCATTCTTTGATAAGCTGATGTCACTTTATCTTTCCACATTAAAGCATCTTGCTCAAAATCTAATGCTCTGATAGTCTCAATAAGGAAATCAAAATTCTTACAGACGCTTGGCATAATTTTTGAAAGAAACTTCTCTTCCATTTGACTAATTGAAATGCAAGTAAAAAAAGAATGACATAGTATATATAGAGGATTAATATGGGAGTGTTCATCAAAAAGATCAGAGCCACTTGTGAAGATGGTTATCAACTTAGGCAAAGTATCCTCTAAAGCCTCTCTACATTCTTCGGGTGTCCATTGAAGAACTGAATCTAGTAGTAATTTTGTCTGAGACATGTTAACAGTGGTGAATATTTCTTGTCTGTTGCTATCACTTAATCAATAACCTAAAAAAAGCAGGAAAATAAAAAGAAATTTAATGTTTTAGGACAAATCCATGTCTCCAGCATCAATCTATTTTAAAGTAATTAAGTCAACAGTTACAAAAACTTAAATGTTAACCTACCTATAGTTGAGTTACTTGTAATTTGTAAACATGAATAAACATAACCACTACTATGTTTTCCTTTTAAATTTAGGAATAACAAAAATCTATGAATTGGGATTGCTGTTTCAAAAAATGCTACTGTTATAAGATGAAATATATTGTTAAATAGAGCATACATGAAATAGGGTTTCACACTATTGTTCTAAAACTCCACACTTTTAAAATACTAGGGAAGATATACAACTGGCAAAGAGTGCAATAATTTCTTGAGGGGCAAATTGTTACTCACCACTACTACTTATATCAAACAAAACTGTCAAAAAAAGTAAAATTTGTAAAAAAAAACAACAAAAAAACAATTACTGTTCTTAGCACGATACAAGTATCGGGCAGAAGTTCATGTGAGAAGTGTATTGAGATAAAACACAATTTAATTTTATCTCAACATTTGTCTATTTTTTAAAGCATCAAAAACAAACATGCCATGCATTTACCACCAATTATGTCATAATCTTAGAATTATGTTATTTACATAACCTACAAAAACAATTAGTGCTTTATATAAATCACAAGTGCTTCAATTGAAAAAAAAGCACAAAATATCTTAAGAGTAACAAACCATATATTTGTTAAATCTCATTATAAAGTTTTCAGTTTTATACATTGATGAACTTAACTGAATCTTTTTGTATTAGCCATGCTTATTAGAATAGAATATATATATATATATATATATACATACACTCACACACACACATTACAAGAGCATAGAACTTTATACAGTATATTTTAATTTGGGTCATACTTGTTTAAAGGGCCCTAAATTTTTTTGTAAAGCCTTTTCTGATTAGGGACGGCTTGTTCTTGTAAGCATTATCTTTCCTAATAATGTATGCCTTCTAGTACATATGGTTAATCAGAAATACCTAAATGTTTTCATTAAAATATATCACAGTATATTACAACAGCTGTAATTATGTAGGAGGCTAGAAAAATTATCAGAATACCAAAAGAAAATGTGAAAGATTCTACCAAGGAAGATGCTGTTTTAGATAATGTTCTCAGTACTAGAGCAGGGTGATTAACTTGATTACCTATGAGCTTTGATTAGTATCACATAAAATAACTGATCAATCAAATTTACAATTAATCGATAAATATCACAAAAATAGTCAGTATTTCTGATTATTCTATCGATTAAGGTATTCAAACTTCTGCCATAAAAAAATTTCAGTTTTTTTCAATTAAATCTAGGTTGTTCAGCTTAATCAATTACAGTCACAGATCAAGATTAGTGTTTCCAAGTATCAATATTTTCAATTATTCCAACTATTAAAGTCTTCTATGATACTAATCAATTAGTGGAATGTAATTGGTTAATGAGACTGATGATTAACTGGTTACTTATGGAAATACTGAGTTACAAATAGGTCAATGTTCAAAGGTTCTTTTGCTGGCCAGTAGTTCTAAAGATTTTTCAGTAGATATCAAGCATTTTGGGTTTACTGATTTTTCTTGTGTCAACAGAAACAATGTTTAAATAGTAATCACATATTAAATGTCACTCACATGGAAAAGTCATTACTTAAGGAAAAACTGTATTAAAAAAAAACACCACCCCCAAAATGTTATACATAGCAGCTCCTTTTATGCATTGGAGTAGATCATTAAGGTGGATCACATAGTTACATTTTACAGCTGTTTCACTTCAATAAAATCTTCTGAATGCCTAGTGTTAATACACATGAGAAATGTTATTGTAGAATAAGTATGAAATGAAGCATTAAATATATGCTAACACTAAAAATTTTAATATTGAAAATGGAGCACCAAGACGATTACAAAGGTTGATTTGTTTGCTAGTGCTACCCAATATCACAGCAACCATAACCATGGCATCATGAAAAACAACCCTATATTTACAGTTACATTTAATAAAATATATTATTAATAACAGTAATTTACATGTAGACTTAAAATTAATTAAAAATATATATTTCAGTATAATGTATGTTACTTTTCAAATTTAATTGTACTCTGGTAGTGTTAGTTTTCAGATACTAAGACCCCAAATTAATTTTACACATTTTACTTTTAAACTTTAAATTAAGCCTTAAGGTCTTATATAAGTTATTCAAATTACAAAGGATCACTCAAGCCAGTGAAGGACTGGACACTACTTGTCGACTTTCTCAACATTCAAGATCTGGCATGAAAATTTGAAATTAAGCATTACAATTTATACTTGTACTATAGCCATTTCTCCCATGATAACCCAAAGGTTAAAGTCTAAGCAAAAATAGTTATGGCTTATGCTTATTAACTTAAAAATAAAACATAGATTATTCCACTCAGTTTAAATCATTAGTAAGACTAAAACACTTTTTTAAACAGTAAAACTAAAATGTTCTAGAATTTCTGTTTCTAGCTTTGGCGTATAAGTTTAATTTTTAGTTTTACTAAATTTTAAATTTAATTTTAAGCCTATTGCTTCTTTTCAAAACTAAAATTTCAGTTAGTAGTTACATATCTACTTTATAATTTGAAATTTTAGCAAAAGCTACATGTAGGAGAGAAGAAGCTGCAATATAACTTTGTTAATTAACTTACAAAATTAGGTTTATTTTTGTAGTCTGACTGATAATATTTCATTCGGTCTCAGAAATCCATAATACGATTATCAAACGAAAAATCCCGCCATCCCACGCGACTTAAAAGCCCTCTTTCAATAGGCTAAAGAAGTTTCAAGTTGGAAAAAAAAAAGCGGTAAAACACAAGCTTAATAAAACAATTATTTATTAAAACACGTTCTTGGTCAGGTAGTTACACAGTTTGAAAATTAATCTTCTTTACTTTATGAAGAATAAGTGTTATTAAATAATTTCTGACAATATATGTGCAACATAAAAACGATAAAATCCTATAACCCGAGCGTTTCCGAAAGTTGGACCTTTCTTCTTCAGAAGTAAACTGGGAATGGTGGTATACTTTACTTGACAGAAATTTAGGTTTGAAATAGTTTCAAGTTTAAAGAAACAAATGCCTGAAAGCCAACCTGGGGCGTCAGAAATTATTGTTTCTCTTCGTCCCGAATAGTGGTGTAACTGAAAAATATATAAAATATTTGACTTTTTAGCTGAAACATTAGCACTTCCCAATAATTCACAATTTACCTCTAATAACTTTAATCCATATTATCTAACCTCACCAATACCTCGAGTTCAGCGAAGTAAGATTGCTTAATCTTCGAGCATCCCCGATATGAATTATTTCTTTAGAAGTTTTTATCATCAAAACAACTACCAGGAAGTGGTAGTAGTAGTAGTAGATAACTACTCCCTTCTCCTTTCCCTTGAACTTCCACTTCCTTTATCTCACAATTACAACGACATCCCCACGCCAGTATCTGTCAACAGTCAACCTAAGCCAAGCTGCGAATCACTCAACTACAGCAGAAAACAACTATCTCAGAAACTTATGAAACTTACTGAGAAACACACAAGGCATTATCTACATGCTAACTTGCTAGTCTATAACATAAAAAATCGAAATATAACTACATCTGTCACATTAAAAGCATAAATCATAATAGGAGCACATGATCAAAATTTCTGAAAAAGTGACAACAGATTCTTGAAAACACCTCCTTAGAATTCATGAGTATCACTAAAAACTTCTGTCAGTAATCCAGATAATATATTATCACCTGTACAAAGCTTCGCTGGAAGAAATAGAATAACTACAAAAATCTACAACAAGGACTGACATATTCTTCATTAAAAAGAATAACAATAACACCAATTCAAAAAGCGCTTCTAACAGCATTCTTTCCAATTCTTCTCTTTATCGTAAAAAAACTACCATAGTATCATGCATTCTACCAGAAACAATAAAAAATCCTTTATCTTACAATGAACATCTTAAAAATGTTTTAAAACACTTCATCCTTTAATACACATAAAAACCCTCAAACTAACAGTGACCTCATAAATCACACAGATAAAAATGAAAACTCCTCACACATCTCTAACATCATTAATCTTTCAGACATAACTCTCTAAAAAGTAGAACTCAGTCTCCTTTGTAAAGGTCTCAACTTCTGCCCAAATAATAACTTTGTTAAAGAACCCAAACTTTTTTCTGACCTGCATGAATTCTTTAGAATGCTAAGACTTCGCTAATTTGTTCACAATAAACTCCATCCTACTGAAAATCAACATACACTGAACTTCAAAAAAAAGTCTTCATGGACTCCTCCACCAAACAGAGAACCACTTTTAGAGAGTTAAATTAAAGCAATAGAAATGGACATAAAACAAATCTTAAAATCTTCCAAGCAATGTCATAATAATCTTAACCAAAGTGAAAGAACTGCTCTAAACAATCTTAAATCGAAGAACAATATTATAATAAATTCAGCAGACAAGGGTAGGGCTATTGTTATTCTTAACAAAAATAGTTATATTGCTGGAGCTAACCGCCAGCTACAGGACATTAATTTCTACAAGAAACTCTCACAGGATCCTAAATCTCGATTTATTAGTACCACAACTGATAAACTTAGAGAACTCTGTCACACACTCACCATGAGCCTGAGTCAGTAAGAAGAAGAAGAAGACACGTCCTGTCACACGCTCCCAAAACAAACAGTTATCGTCTTTCGAGCATTACCATATGCATCCATGACATCGGATGAAGATTTAGATTAATCTCTTTCGTCAATTTCAACGATCACAGCCACGTCTCACAACTCATTGAGGTGTAACAAAAACAACAACTCTCCAAAAGACACCACATCCACGACCACACTTCAAGACCAGGCCGCTAACAATCTCGTTAACATCAACATTGAAGCAGCACCAACATCAAAGCACCACTTGCAATCGTCGTCGAAGGAATACCAGCAACCATTAGATAACCAAAAGTAGCCTCGGAACTCCGTCATTTGTATCCCGTCATCGACTTCAAAAACATCCGTTCACTGCCCAGAGGCGGAATCGTCATTTAGTGCACCTACCCCAAGGACTACTTTAGCCTACTCAAACCATGGCCTTTCGACGCCTTCAATGGCTGCCCAATTAAGCCACGTGTCCCCATTGACCACGAGCCCAGGAAAACAGTTCTTATCCGAGACATCCCACTCGACACCATGGACCAGGAAATAGACGAAGAACTACGATTCAACGAGATTCATTTCCTCAAATATTCCAGGATTTAGTCCACATGCACACAAGAATTCACACCACTAGTCCGCCTTTCATTGACGAACATGATGCAAGCCACACAAATCTTACCTAATGGCATCACTCTCTGATTCCACCACCTAAAGGTTGAAGAACCCAACTACTTCAGCCCTTCAGTCTTATAGTGTTACAACTGCCAGCATTTCAGACACACGAGGGCTGCCTGTATTGCCAAGACCCACTATTTTAGGTGTGCCAGCGACCATCAAGTTAGAGAATACCACAAGGACCAAACCAACATTACTTGCAGCAACTGTGGCTGACAACATGCAGCTTGCTACTGTGGCTATCCGAAATTTCGTTCATCGCTGGAATTAAAGCCAAATCACTGTGTCCTTCTAAACTCACCACACTTCCTAAGAACCACAATTTTCGTGCATTGCCACAACGAGCACAATTCACCAACCAAGCTTCAGAACAAGAAAGACGCCAACAACCACTGAACTAACTTATACAGACACCAAGAACATACGCCACTTTTGCTAGACATCAACCAACACAACAATCACCAGTGCTTTCATCAAACTGGCAAGTCTTACGACCCACTGGCCTCATCGCCTTCATCGTTGACATCATGTTTTCTGTCATCCAAGACGAAAAAACACATTCCTGAACAACGTCTGCAATGCTGCCCGACACTACCTTAAGGGCCAAAGTATTTCACCCAAAACACTAAAAAACCATATCTCAAGTAGGCTATATGGATCACCTTCATATGTAAGTCGAACAATTCTCTTCTTTTTTCATATCAATAATCAAGGCGGACTTAACTTCAAAAAATATGAACTATTAGAACTATCCCAAAAAGTAAATGCTTCTGTTATAACTATCAATAAAATGATCTTAAATAATAACTCTACATTCTGCCTTCCTGACAACAAAATTGTCTCTAAGCCCAAAAAAGTCCATCAGTCCTATCAGCAGACAGATCCTTTATATCAGCCATTGTCCGATAGTTGCCTGCCACTGTTGCCTAGATGATGCCTCTGGGTTTGGCCAGGGATCTGCATGTATCCACCAGCTTGGCTTGCAATTGACAGTCTTCCTCTTCAAGCTCTGATGGAGACGTTGCGATGGTCAATCGTCCTCTTTGTTATATAGGGCCAGGCTTCCTGTCCAATGGGTGGTCGACTCTTAGTAGTGCCCTTTCCGAGTCAAGAGCTGTTGCAGTATGGAGGTAGTCCATGATAGCTATGGACAGAGTGATCAGAAGTGTTACACTCGGATGCCACTGGGTTATTTCACAAGACTTCTTTGCTGGTGATGTTCTGGCTTCTATTGAGGTGGATGTTCCTGACTTCATTTTGGCTATTGTCTGGGAGTCGTTGAGGTTGAAACGTTGAAGTGCTAAAAGCAGTATTAAACCTACTTTAATCACCCAATTCAACATACCATTAACCAGAAGCTAGATGTAATATAATGAGCTAATGAGTACCTTCCAGCACCTTCAGATATTTACCTGCACATAGTACTGAAAAGATATTCACCTGTCTAAAGTCCACATAGAACCTTGGTATTCAGTCCTTCTACAATCATTAGTAAAGAAAAAGTTTGTTTGTTTTGAATTTCGCGCAAAGCTACACGAGGGCTATCTGCGCTAGCCGTCCCGAATTTAGCAG